AAGTTTTCTTCAGCTTTTGATACGCTTGATTGATTTGAGCATTTGATATCCAAGAGATTGCATATTCCAAATGTAAGCCGAGTGCCCCATAGACAAAGCATAGTACACATCGTATTTAATTGAATCAGGATCATATAAAATAGAGAATTGAACTGAAAACAGGAAGACTTAAGCAACCAGGCCCTCAGATCAAGTATGGCAATAAAAACAGGCCCAAAGATCAAATAGAGAATTGAATCAGGATCGTATTTAATTGAATCAGCGAGCAAGTATGGCAATAAAAACAGGTCAACAATTTTGGCTAAACTGATCTTATTGCTCTCTAACAGTTCAGTTAAAATTATGGACAAAAGTTGGTTCACCAATGAGTAAACATTTCAATACCAACCTTGGAGTAAGCAAGCAAATAAATAGCTCTAATAGGCAGCTTTGAAGTACAAAGTCGAGCATTTAGCATCTCCAAACCATTGAGAAAAAACTATAAGGGAGGAAAAAGGAGAAACAGCCATCCGAATCAATAAGGTCCAATTAATTAATACTAAACAGACATAAAAGCACCCAGTAAAAATAGAATCCCTTCTTCCCTCTACAAACCCCCATAATAATAAAAGGAAAAAAAARAAAAGAGGAAAAATGAAAGAAAAACAAAAAAAAAAAATACCACATGTTTTGCGGGAAATGATACATGTTGCCTCAGCGTCACCAGCTCCTGCCTTGTGTCAAGGATACTCAGCATAGTTTTGGAACACAACCAAATTAAAGGGCGCCTTACCACCCAATTTTACATGCTTATGGCCCCCCACCACCACCAACAAAGCATAGCAGGTTGAAATTATAATTCTTAAATCCGATAAACAGCTCTCAACACGGATCTGCATCCACCTCGTCATCAACCAGCAAGCACACACTCGGCTGCTGGAGAGTTGGCAACAATCCAGAGGCAGTTGCATTATAGGAAATAATCAGGCGTTCTACGAGTAACATCTGGTTCTCCTCTCCTTGGAGCTGGTTCAAACTGCAACCATGCACAATTCAGGCATTTTAAAATTCACTTCTTGCCCTTCGCTGTTACATTACATTATGTGTGTGTGCTAAATTCATCTGTATTTATACCCATGTGTGTGTGTGTGTGTGTGTGAGAGAGAGAGAGAGAGAGAGAGAGAGAGATTGGGGGGAGGGAGGAGACCTGAATGAATGTGTGTCCTTTGCAGTCATCCACTTCCAAGATCGATGCCATGTTCCCACAACGATAGCAATAGTTAGGCGCACTAAATATGGTGACCACCTTTTGTTCCTGTTACAAGCAAGATATCAAATTCACATATCTTCCTTTCTACTAAAAACGCAAAAATAAAAAACTCTGGAAGTTGGGATGCATAGAAGTTACATGTCCCCAGTTGTATCCTTCCATGACTAATTGATGAGCTCTAGCAATCAACTTTAAGTTGTTGGTATGGTTGAATTGCTCAGATATGTCCTGTGAATAGTAATATAATTCAAGATAACAAAAGCTTCAGAGATTCTTGTAACTTCCTGGGAGCAAAAGAGAAAAATAAATGGAACATTTTTTTGAAAAAAGTTAAAAATAATGAATTGAAATGATTGT